AGATTGGTGAGGTAACTTGAATTTAGTCAGTGCCCAGGTCAGAATTCAAATAAGGCAGTTTGTATTTTGCTAAAAGTCCATTTGACTGGAGGATGAGGGGGACATACTAGAGTGATCATGCTGGGGACTTCAGGGTTTCCTATGACATGGGACCTCCAATGCAAAAACTGAAAGAGTACCAGGCAAATTGAGGCAGTTCATCATCCTAGTTGGGCTCTTCCTGCATATCCCAGGTACAGGAAGAATCTCCTCCAGAGCAAAACTCAGATGACAGTAGGTCTTTATGATGATCTCTATGCAACAAATCCCCATCAGTGCACACAAAGAAGAAAAGACTCATAGCTCCTGGCTTGGCTGGAGGGGCCTTCCTAGGATTGAGTCAGCTTCCTAATACAGAAGGTTTCAATTCATCCTGACACCTAGAAAATAAAATTCATTGGTAGCCTGGGAATGGTTTGAATGAGAACCAAAAAATTTATATTTCTTTATATAGGGCCATAAATCTCCGCTGAATCTCCCATTAGTCTAGACCATGTTTAATTCTGTCAGGCACTCTGAGACATAACCGTGGTCTTAGCAGACAAGGATGTGCACACTGCTATAATCCCCTGCTGTAGATCAGGGTTTGAGGCTCCACAAATGTCACACATATCCCTGAAGCCGACTTGGGCATTCAGCTCCCTATTGCAGGACTTATGATTCAGTAGAGGACACACAATTTGCCACCAGCACTATTTTTCTACTCAGTAATGAACAGGAGAGGCAGACATGGAACTGTAGAGTCACAGAGGTGGAAGGGACATGGTGGAGATGTGTAGTAGGGACCCGTGGGGAGGAGTTTGATGCTACAGTCAGGGTATGGGGAGGACATTAAAAATGACGATCTAACTACATTTCATTCTTATTTTTCACTGTATGTCCTTTGATATTCATTCAACAAACATTCATTATACATTTTCTGGGTGTGTATTCTAGGCACTCTTGATGGTCCTTAGCTGTGGAAGCCTTACTGCAATCTCTGCCTCCATCTTCATGTGGTCGTCTCCCTGCATGTCTGCCTTCACATCTTCACATGGACACCTTCTTATGAGGACACCAGACATACTGGAGCAAAGTCCCTTCAACTAACTGCATCCTCAGAAGCCCCATTTCCACATAAGACTACATTCTGAGGTACTGAGGGTCAGGATTTCAACATACCATTTTTAAGGGGGCACAATGCAACCCATAACAGATGTTGGGCAAGTGTTTTAGTTTTCTTATCTGCAAAAGGGAGATAACAACAGTAACAACCTCGGAGGATCAATGAGTGACTAAAAATATAAATACAAAAAACGGAATTATCAAACTCTCAAAACAGTGCCTTGGATATAGCAGTCACCATTTAAGAAGTTGCCATTGATTCTTTTGAGATGTTGGTTATAAACCACTGCGTGAATTTCACCCCCCACATTTTAAAGAACGTTGCCGTAAATGTGCCTGATCCATTGCTGGCACAAAGGAACGCCAACACAGTCTCCAAGCCTCTGTGACTGAGCCCTGCTGAGCCTCCTCTATCCCAGGTGAATGTCTTTTAGTTGCCTGAGAAGGCGATCACATGTGTTCCCAGCTACAGTCATGCTCCTAAGCCACTCCTACCCCAGTCATCTGGGAAACTCTGTCTTTACCCATCCAAACAGTACCTCCTCCAGTTAGTCCCCCTGACCACCAACTTTGAGTTATTGCCTTTCAGATCTCCCTGCACAGCATGTATACACTCCTACGTTGTTCCTGAAGTCTGGCCATTAACAACTCTGAGCCCTAACCAACTCCAGTGCCTGGAAAGCACTCTTGCTGCCTTCCCCACAGCTAACTCTCCCTTTTTCCTTCCAAATGGACCCTGATTTTTCTTTGGTATCAACTACTCCAGAAGAATAAGGGACAGATATCTTAGGAAGAATCATGCTTCATCGGTCCCAATCATGGAAATCCATTCACCTTCCCAGGACTGATCCAGGGATGGGCATCATCCTTAATGGTAAAGGAGACATGAGGGAAGGGCTGCTGGGGTGACTTCTGGGATAGTTTCAGGAAAATTCCAGAGTCATAGGAGAGGAAAGAGACCATGCTTTTCCCTCAGTGAGTGGAATGGCAGCTGTACCAAAGCCATAATAATGGTCACAAGGACAAATGTCACCCTGCTGAGGACGGCAGAGCTGAACTATGGAGACAACCCGAGTTCTTGATGATTTTGCTAAGATTCTACATTAACCAGCACTGGCACTGTGCCTTACAGGACTTCTTGTGATGAGATATCTTTTCACTATGCTGCCTGTATAATAATACCATTACCTGTGCGGTGATAATATCTCACTGCAGAGATATTGTTTTCCTGATTGTTTATTTATGTAAAGTTTTCTGCCTCTTGCCGCTGCACATAACCTAACTGATATAAGCACTCAGGAAATACTTTTGAACGAATACGTCTGTAGACTCAAAACGTAGTAAAAAGCGAAAAGAAAAACAAGAACTAAAAGGTTGACCGTCTACTGCAAGCCAGGCACGAGAGTCTTCTTTTATGTACATTATAATACAAAATCTTCACAATAAACTCATGGCCATATAAATTGTACCTATTTTAGAGATAAGGAAACGAAAGCTCAGAAAAGTTCATGTATCCTATCCAAGGTCCTGGCCCTAGTAAGTGCTGAAACTGAGCAGCGTTTAATTACTATTTTATGAGGACTCACTTCAGCATTTCGTTCAGATGTTTCATTTATCGCACAGGATTTTATTATTTTGTTTTGTTTTACTTCCACTTCCCATTGAATTTTCACCTGCTGGCAAGTGAAATTAGGATTCTAATGTAGACCTTATCCTGCTCTCTCCTAACTTTTGATCCATACTGTGTTTACTTTCCTCTCATAACTTCTCAATGTCATCACTGTCTCTATACCATGCCTCTGAGATCAGAGTCCAGGAGCTTTCTGAAGAGTCCTTCCCAAGGGTCAGAGCACATGTCACTGGTCTCCCTCAATCTCCCCATCACCCATCAAGTTCATATGGGAGCTTCTCCAGGTTAACTTAGGAGAAGGCCCCATCAGCCCTTGCTAGTCCACCATCTTGGCAGGAAGCCTGGGTGTGGGAGATAAATCCCAGTATGTCTAATTACAAAATATTTCCACTACACCACGAGACCCAAACAGACATGTGTAGCCAACAAGTATATTCTCTTTAGTGATCTCAGCAAGAATAAAACTAATTTGTGCAGCTTTCTGCAGCTCTTTTCTCTTCCCCTTGGTGGGGTGAGACATGGGAACTGAGAACACAGTCCTTCCTCCACCCGCCAGTATGTCTGTTTCTTGCAGTCAGCATTTTGCAGAGGAATGTTATAAAAAACGTCTTAGCAGCATCCAGGGAATTTCAAGTGATTTATTCCTGTTTCTGAGGGAAAACAAACAAATGAACAAACAAAAACTGTCCTTTCGTGCAGCAAAAACCCCAGGAATTGGCTATAGAAAGGATCTTGTGAGCTGGAAATTGTGTGCCCTCTAGTGGTCATCTATAGGAAGTCCCACCCAGAAGATCATTTCCACTGAAAACAGAAGGAACCAGGCAGAGAAGGTGGGAGACAAAAATTTTTGAGAATGTCTTGAATGAGTAACAAGCTGTAAATGGTACAAAGACACCTGCTTTCACCTTTTATTGAAAGAACCAAATATAGGTCATGGGTGTAAAAAAGACATCCAAGCTCACAAATCCTGGCAGGCTTTATTGAAGCTACCCTGGAATTTGCCTCCCAGCACTGAGCCCCAAAGGCTTGGATGGGTTCCCAACACAAGGGTGCTGAGCTGGAGAAAAGTCACTCACCAGAATTCCTCCTGGGAAGGGAAGGCTGTTTCTGATGGGAAAATATTTGGTAGAAAGCTGAGACGTGTGTGGACAGAATGAATGGTCTGTACAGATCACAAGAAGAGTTTGTAGTTTATTGCTGGCTGAGAAAGGGAAGATGAAAAGGATGGAAGAGAAAGCCAGTTGAGAAAAGGCCCCTGATCCTCCTGGATGTGTGAGCTTGCCCAGGACGGGCCCTACCTCCACCCCACCAAGTCTCCACTACACTCACATGTGTGAGGGGATCCTCAGGGGCACGGAGAGGAACTGAGCTCTGTGTCAGGGTTGATGCAAGGTTCACAACACCATGTGAGCACAGGGGTGAGGCAGCCTGGAGAAGAAGGAGGAGATAAGCCCAGGAATTCACAGGTGTCAAGGAAGGGAGTGGCTATAACTAGATAGGGCCAAATTTAGCCAGATCTTTGTGGGGGAGGAAAACTTTAGACAACAAAGTCGCACAGAGATAAGCATGGCTAAATTAGATGTTGGGGACAGGTGTGGCTCAATGGTACAGCACCTTGCTTGGCATGCCCAAGACTCTGGGTTCAATTCCCAGTACTGAAAAAAAAAAAAATGGTGTTTCCCGAGGGATGCAAAGGAAAGACAGAAAAAACAGGCCCAAATGAGCAATCCAAAGTTCAGACACTTGTCCCATGGAACATGTCGAGTTAGAAGCAGATCTAAGACTCAAACCCAGGTCTTCCGTTACAAATTGCACATTCTTCTTATCTCCTACGCTGCCTCTCCCAAGCAGAAAGCCCTTTTTTTTCTTGTTTTTATTTCTATTTTTTATGGTGAAATAACTACAACTGAGAAAAGCTCATAGTTAAATACTTCCCTCTGACCTAATCTACTGCCTTTCTATCGCTACTAGAGAAACCAGTATTATAAGAGCCCTAAAACTGCCAACATATCGGAAAAATATTTAGCTCTTTGTCTAAGGATGGGACTCAACTGACCAAATAAAACCCAAATAAACAGCAAATAACAGCTCCTCCTCAGATCTTTCATGTGTGTCTGGAAACAAATTTTATATTCCTTGCCACTGAGACTTCTTTCTCCCAAAATAATGGAGTCTGTGGCTTCGCATTGTATGGACACATTGAGAGCTGGGTAAGGTTTTATTTATCTTGGCTTTGCTGGTGCTGGGCACCTTTTTGGCACCTTTTGGTAAAAGGGACATGGGCAAATGTCCTTTTATCAGCAGCAGGAGGACAGACTTGAGCTTTTCCAATTTTGCAGCAAGAGACTACATATATTAAAAGAAAGGGCTTAGTCACACAGGGACACATGTCTCCCCAACATTAGCCTACAGCCCAGCATGTCAGAGGCACAGTTTACCCAGAAGTGTTACATTTATTGCAGGATGATTCATTCAGATTCCACCAAATGTCTTTTCCATGATCCACATTTTTCACTTTATCATGCCTGAAAAAAAAAAGACAATGTGGAGTCATTTGCCTTGTTTCTTAAATCAAAGAAAGACTTGGATTTACACAGCCTCTTTTTCTCCAAAAAGCCCAACATACTTGCCCATCTGCTAGCTCATTTGTCTCCGGTTCTTCCTTGTAAACTCAATTGAGTGTTATGCTGGAGAAACAGACCAGGGAAGGTGACAGAGTAGGTAGGCTTATACCTACTCACCACAAGGGGGAGCCCACGCACCCTCCTATTGTACTCCTTTCCACTGCAGACACCTATTGCCCACCTAAGTGGCCAGAACTGTTTCTAAAGGTATCAGACCTCTGTCTACAAGTAGCCCCAGCCTGAAACTGTGAGTCTAACAATGAACAGACACAAGAGGCCAGAGAATTACAATATAATGTTAAGAGCAATGCTGCAGGGGTGGCCTGGACATGAGTGTAGAGAATCAGAAATGGGCACAAAAGGAAAGTATGAAAGGCTTTTAAAACTAAAGCTTCAGCATAAATTGTAGTAAGTGAAATAATTGGAAAGAAACAGCATTTTTTTCAGCACAGGGATTGAACCCAGGGATGCTTTACCACTGAAAGACATTCCCAGTCATTTTTATTTACATATTTTTATTTTGAGACAAGGTCTTGCTAAGTTGCCCGGGCTAGCCTTGAACTTGTGATCCTTCTGCCTCTGTCTACTGAGTCACTTGGATTACTGGCATGCACCACTGCACCTAGCTGGAAAAACAACATTAAATCCTTTTTGATTATTAGTCAAATTAACTAAATCAGACTTTCCACTCACCAAAACGACTATACCTTATATATTTTTTTACATTTGATCAACAAATTGGGATGAAAAGGATTAAGCTTTTTTTAACCTCAAAAATCACAAAATAAACAGGGAAAAAGCCCTCCCCCAAAAAATTAAAACTTCAGATAACATTTGTTAGAAGGATGTGGAGAAACTGGAACCCCCACATGTTGTTGGTGTTAATATAAAATGACATGGCTGTGGTGGGAAGCAGTTTGACAGTTCCTTAAAAGGTTAAATCTAGAATAACCATACAACCCAGAAAATCCTCTCCTAGGTATGTATTCAAAAAAACTAAAAAAAAAATCCTTCCATATGTGTGTTTATAGCAGAACTATTTATAAGAGTCAAAAGGCAGAAACACCCCCTTGGTGGATGAAGAATTAAACACATTGTGGAATACACATTCGGTGGAATATTATTCAGCCATAAAAGGACTAAAGCACTGCTATACATGACCACTTGGATGGACAGAAAGCATCATGTTAAGAGAAAGAAGCTAGACATAAAGGTTGCATATTGTATATGAACTAATCAGAAAGTGCAAATCTATAGAGACAGGACTCAGATTGGTGAGCTCAAAGGAGAGTGTTAGCCAGGGGGGGCTATTGCCTAAAGAGTGTGGGTTCTTATTTGGGGATGAGGGAAATTTGGGACTAGATAGAGATGGTGGCAGCATTATATAGTGAATGTGCTACATGCCGTGGAATTCTTCATTTTAGAGTGGCTGGTTTTATGTTATGTGAATTTCACCTCAATAAATGAAAAAAGAAAAAAAAAAGCAAAGCTTTAGTCAAGAAGTTCCTGGGAACAGGAGGACAGCAGGGTTTTGACAGGTGCCCTCGAGGAGGTATTTGAGTCAGAGAGCAACACACATAAGAGGAAAGCAGCACAAGGTGGGCAATTTCAGGGCTGTGTGGGGGGACTCATGGGGACCTAAGATAGGAGAGGGCTCTACCATGGGCAGAGACAGTCATCCTTTCCAGGGACCCTCTCAATCCTTTAAGCTATTGTCTGGGGCACAAGTTCTTTACATTCATTGTGCCATTGACTGCTACATGTGTCTTTGTTAACAAAAATAGTGAAATAATATAATCAAGTGACAGTCTAATCCTTATGCTACAGTGGTTAAGTATAATTGATGTTTTGAGTTATTGCAACAGCTCGAAAATAATCTTAAAATATCCATGACTTCTCTTGCTGAAGAAGTCACAGGAATTGTGACTTAATAATAATCTATTATGGTAGATTATTGCCTACATTCACGATTAAAGGAAATGCTAAATTTCAGGTACAGGTTAGTAAAAAATAAAGATAGATTTTTTGCAGACCCCAGCTTCAGAACCCCTGTATTACAACCTGGAAGAGAAGTTGCAGGGCAGTAGCTAAAACTCACCTTACACTGCTGTTGTCTGGCAAAAGGAACTGAGACAGGAAAAAAGATGGAAGGCCAAATTGGCTGAGATCTGTTCTCAGCAAGGATGGAGACAGTGACTAGGAGAGATGCCAGGCAGCTGAAGGAAGGTAATATCAAAGGTTTGGGTAGGAGGGGCTAGGCAGTGTCAGCAGGAGGGAGCCACCTAGGTGGCACTTAGGTTTCCCACATGCCAACATGGATGAATGGGAGCATGGTGGTGTCTGAGGTTTTCTTCCCATAGAACTGGTCAAGTAAGTGATGCTCAGGGAGTTTCACATACCACCTCCTTAGTAGGGTTTTATTCTTAAGTCAAGCATTCTGTTGCAGGGGTGGGGATAAGGGGCAAAGAGGATGTATACTGGCGGGAAAACTCTCCAGAAACTGGTTATCAGGCACAGAGTAGAGGAGGGAGAAAATCCAACTCAATGTGCTTTGTCTCTTCATTGTACCCCAAAAGCCATAAGGCAAGGACACTCCTTCTTTAAAGAATCCCATTTCCTTGTAGAGACCACAGGAGGCACCAGGAAGGAGCAGTTATTAGATTTGTGCCTTACTCTCCATCCATACCCCACCTGGATCTTTGAAACTGCCTCCTCAGCGGGCCCCCAACCCCTATTCCCTACCATAATCCTTCCGCATATTGTAATTAGGGAATTCTTAAATAAAATTGGATTACTCCACCCTGCCTAAAAGCCATCGCTCTTCAACTTAGCCTTCAAGTCCTGACATTTCCTGGCTCTGGTGGCCCTTCAGCCTCCTCATTAGCCATGCCTGTTGTCACATTTGACCCCCAACAGGACTGGGTCTACTGAATATGCCAGGCTCTCTTACCTCTAGACTCTTCTCTGCTATCACCAAATGAGGGCAGGGACTGAGTCATGTTTATATAAGTATAGTCTCAGTGCCAGGAGTGAGCTAGTGCTTGTTTGTCAAATAGATTAACATTTGACAGCAAATCAACACTGAATGCAGTGGAATCTAGCTGTGTAGGTCTTGTATTAATCTGCTCTGGCTGCTATCATAAGATACCAAAGACTGGATGGCTTAAACAACAGAAATGCATATTCTTACTGTTACGGAGGCTGGAAGTCCAAGATCAAAGTGTCTGCAGGTTTGATTTCTCCTGTGGCCTCTCTTCTTAGCTACCAAACACCTACCTTCTTGTCCTCACATGGCCTTGTCTCTGTGAGCATAGCTTTCTTTCTTCCTTTTCCTGAAAGGCCGCCAGTCATATTAGCTGAAGGCCCCACCCTAACAGCCTCATTTTAACCTAATCACCTTGTTAAAGACCATATCTCCAAATTCAGTCACATTTTGAGATACTGGGGGTAGGCCATCTGTAGCCAGGAAGAGAGTCCAATCTTGATCTTGGCTTCCCACCTTTTAGAAATAGGGGAAAATATATTCCTGTTGCTTAAGCACCCAATCTATAGAATTTTGTTAATACAAACTTGAAAGAAATGCCAGATCCCAGATCCTGTCCCAACTCTACTGAGAACCCATATTTTAATAAAGATTGGTTTGCATGCACACTGCTGTTGGGGAAGTACTCTCCTAGAACACCTGTTGTCTTAGAATTCTAGTCCAATCTTAAGAGTGGGTACTCATGAATTTCAGCTTATACAATGAGAGATAAAAGACAAATTGACTGAAATATATTTTAATGAGAAGTATAGAAAATACTATCCTAACACCAAAACATGCAACTGGAGTGGATATCTGATGTTCTTGTCTGTCCAGTGCTTGTCTTTCTGTTGAGAAATGTCCCACCCTATGTCATTCCTGCAGGGCTAGCTATTCACAATGCTCCATGTGACCCAAGCCTGGCCAGTCATGGTGTTTCATCAGCCTGTCATTATAATTTGTTAGAGCATCTAAACTAACAGTTCCAAGCAGACCTGCAGTAAGAGTTAGTGTATAGATTCTAAAAGGAAGGTCTCTTTCTTTTGGATCATACTATAGAGTCATGGGCTTAGAGCAGCCAGCCTTCGGTAGAAAAAAATGAAACCAAAATGCAAAGAAAATGAGAGATGAGAAATGGGAAGCGTACTTCAATGGAATTGTCTGGGGCCCTCAAATCCATCTATACCCTCATATTTACCACTTTTGTAATACAATTTGTGGCTAAGCTAGCTAAAGATGGGTTTTTATTACTTGCAACCAATATGAACAGGTATTAAGACAGTTTTCCTTAGAAACTGTGTTTGTGATAAAGCAATATTCAACCCAAAGTTTGATCAGTCTAGTACCCATCTACTTTAGTATCATGTTCCAGGCAGGCATTATGCTGAGTGCCAGGGATACCTATGTGAAGAAGGTGCACCCCTGCCTTCATCCCAACAGTCTAGAAGCTGAGGCTGGTGGAGATTCCCAGATGTAAGCAAACCATGCTATGCAAGGTGGCCAGTGCTGCCATGGAGCTCTGAACAAGATGTCGTGGGAGGGTGGCAGAAACCCAGAGAACAGGCAAAGGCTTGACAAAGGAGTTAGCATTTGTGCTGGGGGTGTAGCTCGGTGGCAGAGCACCTGCTTAGCATACACAATACTCTGAGTTCAATACTCACCACCCCCCAAAACGAGTTGGCATTTGAGTACACCCTCAAAACAATTTGATTCTGAGCATGGTGTTCCAAGCTGAGGAATCAGCATGGGTGAAACACTCAGGGTTTATGACCTGGCAAGAGCCCTGGATATTGACTGCAGAGGTGAGGCCAAGAGAATTGGGAGAGGTCCAAGAGTAGAGAGCAGGTGAATGATATAGTGAAAAGACCTTGGCCAGCCA